AAATAGACTGTGATCGAGTTGATCCTGATTCAAAGCAATCCTATAGGATAGGGTAGCATTGCCCCTGTGGGTTTCTGAGACTTGACCTCTTTACAGCAGGGGAAAGCCTCATCTTTCTACTGTGGGACAGCTCGTGGTTTGAACCAAGCCCGGTGCCTAGCCCACTGCACCAACAGGGTCAAAAGCCAAAGCCCTAACCAAAACAAACTCACCATCATTGAGTCTATTCTGATTCAAGGTTAACCCTTGAGGGCAGGGTCAAACTGCCCTTGTGAGTTTCCAAGACTATAACTCTTTCCACAAACCAAGCTCACTGCCCCCAAGTCAATGCTGACTCGTAGCTACTCTACAGGACAGGGGAGAACTGCCCCTGGGGGTTTCTGACTAACTCTTTACAGGAGTCGAAAGCGTCCTCGTTCTCCCTCAGAGCATGGTGGTTCTCAACTGCTGCCCTTGCGCTTAGCAGCCCCGTGCATGGCCACTGTGCCATGAGGATATAAATCTGTACAAAATGTCCCATTTCTTAAAAGTCTTTGATTTTATGGCTGACCAAATTCTACATAGAGAAGGGAGATTAATAATAGAATAATGCTATTTTTTAAAAAAACCATGGAAAATATACATACAGCTCTACAATGACTATTGATCTGCAGTAAAGTGTTTATTAATCAACACTGGGGCAGAATGCTCTTACCGATACAGATCCCAAATATCATTTCAAAATTTATCCTTCTTTTGATTCACTGCTTGACCATTTGTTGTTCTCCACTTCTATTTTCAGGGCTAGTTTTTCACCTGTCCTCTATTGATCGTTTCCCTCTGGAGTAGAATAGTGTACCATTGTGACTTCCCCAACATTTCCAGATGGAAAGATAGGATCATAAGCTGTCATTTCTACAACTGTTATTAATAAACTTCTGTTTTCTCTCTGAGGTGCTGGGTTGACTTACTACTTATTTCCCATTGTCGTTTACTCTCTGACCTAGAAGTGTTTTCGAGGCGTAATCAGTCATGGACTAGCGAGGAGAAATGATCTGTTCTGCAAACTAAGCTACCGATGAGCGCCCTGGCCTTTAATGAAGCCTTACATACACTGGCTTCCCACTTTCTGCAGTCGTTGCATCCCTGGAGTGAGAGGACATTCTTCTGCATTGTGTCTCCATGTTCTACTGGAGTGTGTGTCCCACCTGTACTCTTTCATCATATTGTGAACCTGGGGACACATTAACCCTCCCCAAGGCTCCGCTGCGGTTGTGTGCTGTTCAGCGAGTGCATTGTGGGCTGGACAGTGGGTCCCAAAGTCTTTCTCTTATGGAGATCCTGGTGGGTTTGAACCACTGGCCTTTCAGTTCACAGCTGTCCGTTTAACCACAGTGCCACCAGGGCTCTGTGAGGCTCAATTAGGGAATAACAGGACCCAGCTATCCTAGCTTCATTGCCACATTAAAATTCAGGACACTGGGTGGTTATTAAGAACAGAAATGTGTTGACTCTTGGGTCAGAAAGCTGCAAGTTCAAACCAATGTTGGTGTGTTAGTCCGAGTTGACTAGAGAAACAAATTCATAGGCACTTGTATGTGTATAAGAAAGAGCTTTATATAAAGAGTAATTGTGTATTAAGAAAACATCCCAGCCCAGTCCAGATCAAGTCCATAAGTTTGATATTAGCCCATATATCTGATACCAGTCTGTAAATTCCTCTTCAGACGCATGCAACACATGCAATGATGCAGAATGCAGGAAGATTACAGGCCACTGGGTGGAAAGTCTTGTGGATCCAGTGGTGGTGGAAGCGTCTCAGTGCTGGTGTGGGTCTCCATGTTGCTCCTCCAGCTCCAGGGCTCTGGCTCTATCAGTGTAGCTCCATGTGGCTTGTCAACAGAAATATCTTGCAAGGAGTGTGGGTCTGGCCTCCAGTGAGCTATTTATCTCTGTAGCACCTCCAAATGAGATCATCAATCAAGCTGTGACCTGATTAACAGGCTAAACTCCTCCCCTTCACTCTTAATATTCTCAAGTTGACACCAGATTATATAACTACCACAGTTGGCCAGGCCATGCTCCCCCTGGAAAGCTTGAGAGAAGAAGGTTTTTGTCTCCTGGTTTTTGGCCATCCCAAGCATGCATTTGCTTCCTGCAGATTCGCATTACTGTTATTCCTCTGCCTGTCTATACCTCTCCTCTCTCCTAAGACTCCACTCTCATAGGATTAGAATACACACTACTCTTGTATGGCCCCATGCTGGCTAATAACATCTTTAAAACCTCCTTTCCAAACAAGGTCATGTTCACAGCGACAGGGCATCGAACTTCCTCATGTTTATCGGCAGACACAACCCAATCCATCTCAGTACTTAACAGCATTTTGAGAGTTAAGCGAAGTGATGTACGAAAAACATTTCTTAGAGAGCCCGGCATTAAAAATGTCAATATGTAAGAGGTCCAAATCCCCCTAGAATAGTTTGGCCTTCTCAGGCGCTGAGCCTAAAGATGGTTGATTATGGATTCTAAGAAACCACCCCATATACTTCTCTCTTCCAAAAATGCACTGCATTGAATCAAGTCTAACTCATAGCAAACCCATAGGACAGGGTAGAACTGGCTCCTGTTGTTTTCTGACATAGTAACTCTGTACGGGATTAAAACGACTTCTTTTTTCTGCCATGGAGTAGCTGGTGGTTTTGAATTGCTGAGCTTGTGGTTAGAAGCTCAGTGCATTACCCACTATGTTTTACTGGTGTGTATGAAACATGCATGGTAAGATGTTGCTAATTATACTTGTTCCTTGCCCAGGTCAGAAGTTACGTCCAGAAAGCTTGTGCGGAAGGGGCCCAAATTCTGTGCGGTGAAGGAGTGGATAAGATGAGCCTCCCATCCAGAAATCAAACTGGCTACTTTATGCTTCCCACGGTGATAACAGATATCAAGGACGAGTCCAGCTGCATGAAGGAAGAGATATTTGGCCCAGTGACGTGTGTTGTCCCCTTTGATAGCGAAGAGGAAGTGATTAAAAGGGCCAACAACGTGAAATATGGCCTGGCAGCTACCGTGTGGTCCAGCAATGTGGGGCGCGTCCACCGGGTGGCCAAGAAGCTGCAGTGTGGTTTGGTCTGGACCAACTGCTGGCTCATCCGCGAGCTGAACCTTCCTTTCGGAGGGATGAAGAGTTCTGGGATAGGCAGAGAAGGGGCCAAAGACTCTTACGATTTCTTCACTGAAATCAAAACCATCACGGTGAAACACTGATTCTGGCCGAGCTGTGATGGCTCATGCCTGGCAGAAGAGAGTTAGTTGTCTGTCCAATTTTGGTGAATGGAAATGGTGGGAATCCATCCTAGCCTGGAAGGCAATGTCTAGTTCCGCCTCCGTACTTACTACTGGCAAGCCCCGGTCAAGAGAGGCTTGCCAGCATTAGTATGGAATCCGTGTAGAGAAGACTTCTGAGTAAAAAGTCAATCCATCTTCAGTCTCCTCCCAAGCTGTTTTTTAATTTTTAATTTTAATTTTAATTTAAAATTTAATTTTAATTTTCAGCGGTTTTTAATTTTCCATCATTTTAATTAAGTCTCTGGAAATTTGGATTCGTTTTCAGATACCAGTAAGTGAATAAAAAAAAAATAACCACCAGAGAGAAACAAGGCACTCTAATTTCCTACCTTGGGAGCTTGCGCAGAGCATCTCGCTGTACAGCAGACACTGTCATGGTTAATTGATCATTGACTGAATCTTGTTACACGAGGGAGGTGAATGTTGACGATCAACAAGTCATTGGGTTTGTCTCAGAAGGCCTTCATGGAAGGCCCAGCTAACTTCATCTGTACAAGAACAGTGAAAAATAAAGTGGTCACACTTTCCATGGAAACTGGTAAGAAGAAGAAAGAGTTTGATCTGTTTCTAGCGCTAAGTCAGATCAATTGCAATTCTTAGTGTATGTGATTTTTGAGACTGTAGTTTACTAATCCTAAAAAAATGTAATCAGTGTCAAATACTACTAGCCTGGCATACACCTTCTTCCTGAATCGCCCTTTATTCCTCCTCCTAACCCCTATCCTCTCAGAAGTGTGAACTTTACACTCAGTAATAAAGATGCATCCTACACGGTTTTCCTGACTCCCGTAATGCTCAGAAGAGAAAATGGAAGTCTACCAGGATGAAGTAACAGATTCAAGATCTCACATTCGTAGGTTGTAGATGGGGGATTTGAACCCATGGCTCTCAGGCTCCGTAGCTCTAACCAGTCCAGATGTGTGCTCCAGAAGCGCTCTGGTCCTTGTGGTTTCTGGAACACTTCATATTGTCCGCAAGCTTTGCCAGTCTTCTCTCTTCTTCTCAGCTCCCCTTGTTGTGGGTGAGGGGACCTTCCACACTGGGGACAACAACCCAGGAACTCCTGCAGTCCGTCTACTCACCCGGACGGGAGCCAGCTGACTCTCCAGCCAGACAGCAACTGTTGAAGGTCAAGGCCACATGTCTCTCCTCTGAAATTTCAATTCACAGTACAGTGCTTGGCACAGAGAGGCGCTCAAAATGAGTTCTGGGAATGGAATGAGATTTCCCTGCTGCTCTGGGAGTATTTGTTGCATTGTGTGTGCACGTACATGCTTGCATGTGTGAGCGTGTGTGTGTGTGTGTGTGTGTAGGAGCAGTAAGCTTTATAATACTTTCTGATATGTGCCAACTTGTTCACAAATACTGAAGAAAATATGCCACTTTGAGGTCAAGTGATCGTTTCAGGCTATCCCTGCTACCTAGCTTTTTTCTCCCTTTTTCCTTTCCTCCCCTTCCTCCTTCCACTGTAGAGATCATGTGAGCTTGATCAACTTAGTACTCAGACCAGGGCCAATTCTGGATATAAGCAGCACCAGCCTCAAGGAATCTGCCTCTTAACTCTTGTTACTGGTCTGGCCCAAGCTCATGTTTATTCCTGAGGTTCGAGCTGTATCTTGATTGGAAGTCTGTCCGTGGGATCTCCTTGCTCCCTACACCTGACTGACCCACCTCCTACTGCACTTACTTTCTGCCTGCCACACTCTTCTCACTACTCCTGCGAGCTAGCGCTGCTCCTGCCATTTCTTGTCCTGCTTCTGGATCCTGTCCTACGGAAGGGCCTGCTGCCCACAGACAGGCATTCTGCTTGCCACTCGCCGGCCTCTATGTCTTTGTGGATCTCTGGACACTCCTCCTGGGCTCACAAGGCAATCTTATGAATAGATATTTGACGAAATGCTTTTCTCCTCACTAGAACATCGTCCCAGTTCTCAGTCATTAAATCCATTGGGATTCTCATCCTAGCACTCCCAGCTGGGCCCTTTCTGATGGGAAAGAATTCCAGTTCATACAAGGGAGCTGGATGTTGTTCTAGGACCGTCCTCCTGCCAGCAAGCATGTGCTGCCTCGGCTCCCCGCAAGAGCCCACGCTCACATTCCAGTCTGATGTGGATTGAAGTGTGTCCTCAAAAAATGTTCTGGAATCTAACTCCTATACCTGGAGATGTAGCCCTCTTTGGAAATAAGGCTTTCTTTATACTAGGGTCAGTGCTAAACCTAATCACCCCTGACTTATAAAAAGGGCAGATTAAACACAGAGATGGGCACAGACACGACACTATGCTATGGGAGCATTGTCGACAAGTCAAGGAACCACGGAACCTCTGGTGCTCCTGCAAGGAGACATTAGGCAGGGTTGAGGACCTGATACATTTCTCTTCACCTCCAGAACTGTGAGAAAATACTTTTTTGCTCATTAAAGCCATCCAGGTGTGTGGTTTTTGTTACAGCAGCAGGAAGAAACTAAGACAGGGTCGATGTCTGCCTTCCTTAGGCTCTTACCCCAGTGATGTGAACGTGACTACGGGCTGCCACAGCCCGTTCAAGGCTATACTCAGAACTGATGTTGAAGAAAGTTGAGGAGGGTGTTCACAGGGTCTCAGGTATACTTATTTATAGTCTTTCTATGTAAGTTAGCTGTTGGGCACATGGATGCTTGAACTGTTATTTCGTAAGTCTGAGATATTTACATACCCAGAACAGGCACATAGATCATATTGAAGGACAGCCTGGAGGGTTCACAGGACAGCCTGAAGCCTGGATTCTGGCAGAACTCCAGGAGGTTCCAATCTGGGAGGTCTCACACATGGGGAACAGCAGGGACAGGGGACAGGGACAGGCACGGTTGAAGATAAGTGTTAGCTGAGTCAACAGGGACTCCAGCTAAATTGCACATTCAAATTCAGTAGATCTGGGGTTGGACCAGAGATTGAAGTTAGAGTACCAAGTGAGACTTGTGAAATCTACTGCTCGGTATGTTTTCCTCGGGTCCTGGGAGAAATTGGCTTCCGCATTTTCTCCCTATTTGAGATGAAGGTTGAGGCTGTCAGATAAGTGTTTGACTGCTAACCCCGAGATCTGGAGTTCAAACACGCCTGCTGCTTGTTGGAGGGAAAGATGAGGCTATCTGCCTCCATAAAGATTTAAGCCTCAGAAATCCTATAGGGTTGCTGGGAGTTGGAATTGACACACTGGTTGGTAGAGACAAAAGGGAGTTTCTGGGCGGTGGTGGTGTTGGTAGGTGCCTTCCAGTCGGCTCCGACCCACAGCGACCCTTGACACAACAGAGTGAAACACTGCCCGGTCCTGCAGCTTCCTCAGAATTGTTCCTATGCTGGAGGCCTTCCAAAAGTAATGATTGGTTCCCTGAAATAAATGTAATAAGTCAATTAAGAATGGAATCTTCCATCAGTGTGAATGAAGACTGTACTAGTTACCTTGAAGATAAAGTCAATGGCATAGCTCCGACGATAAAGGATGGCAGAAAGGAAAAACATAAAAAGCTGAGATGGGTCTAGAAAGTCAGTCATATTTAATTAGTCCAGAAGGATACAACAACAACAACAAGAGGAACATCTTCATTTAGAAAATAAAAGATCATTTCCCTGACCTGAGAGATGACTTTTAAGATGAAAACAACTCCCCATGTGTCAAGCTAGATGAATGAGGCTTGCAACCACATGCATTCTGGTGAAATTTTCAGATGGTTAGTAGAATGCTTTCCGTGAGAGAAAGCAGGGTATATACACAGGAATAAACATGATATATTGCTACACTCTCTACTAGTAATCTGGGTGCTAGAAGACAGTGGGGTAAGACTCTACAGTGCTTAAGTAAATTGATTTTGAAGCTAAAATGTTATAGCCAACTAAGCTGTTAATCAAGCATGAAGGCAAAATAAGGCATTTGATGACTCACAATGTGTATCCATGACCTGTCCTTTGTGGTATTACTCGGGGGTGTAATGTAGCAATAGGAAAGATGAACCCCCAAAACAGCAGGATTACCTGACAAATGAAAGACATTTCAAATTGTCAGCTGTGTGTGGAACAGGCCTGGAAAGCAATTTGCCCACATTAGACTAGGGCAGACAGGAGGGGGTGCTTGAAGAATGCTTTAAAGGAGAAAGTGAAATAAAAATTAGCTATTCAGTAATCTGGAGGATCTTGGGTAGGGAACAAAGTATGCAAAAGGTCTATGCCCATTCTATCCTTTAGAATGGAAAAGGAAAGGCAATTCAACACCGCATAAGCTTAAACTATATTTAGATGTCATGATCAAATATGAAGCAGACAGCAATGTGATTTGGCTTGGGATAATGAAAGGGTCTACATAAAGGGAATTGATTTTCCATGATTCTTTGAATGGATATTTTTGGTAACATAAAATTACGTTTCCATTTTTCTGGGCCAATTCATACCATTTGATTCTGCAATTCACTGCAAATAGATATATTATCTCTCTCCCTCTTTCTCGATTGGATTCTTCAGCTAAGGCAGCAGATGATTTATTGTGTACATGTACTCCGTCAGGATTGAAAACAAAATGGAGTGACAGAGGTCCAGGAAACAGGACCCAGGGACTGCTGCAGGCCTAGCAAGGTGCATCTCCCCGAGTTCCTCACCGACAGATGGTGACGGGAGTTCTAGATCCATTGAGAGGAGAGTTAGACCAGGCATGGGGGACCTTTATTCCCACCAAGGGACATGTGGATATTTATGACATCATTTGTGGGTCATACTGGTCGAACATTTAACGAACTGGGCCTGCTTCTCTTTAGTGAGGCCTGTGGTGTGAGCTGGTACTGATGCTTTTGTAGGGGACTGGACTTTCCCCGCCCCTGATCTAGACATAGCAAGTGGTCAACCCCTTGTTGCTGTGTCCCTGCCACTGGCACCCCAAATTCCTGCTCCTAGTGGTCTCCCTAGCACCCCCACTCGTGGTTTGCTTGGACACAGCCCTTGTCTTTCTTTCTTTTTTTTTTTGCATTTCATCCTCAAGGTCTTTTAGAAGGACAACCAAGTATTCCTCCAAGTTCTGATGACACCATGACCATTTTCTCCCCCCTGTGCTGGCCCTGTCTCAACATAGCCGCAGGTGTACTCCTTTCTCTCTTGGTGCCCCTGGAGGTTCCTAGCAAGATGACACTAGGCCAAAGGAGTGCTCTGGACAAGTTTAATAAGATACATGTCTCTGCTGTAGTTTCAAGTCAAGCTGTAGACAAAATGCAGAAAACTGATTTCAAGTTCTAGAACAGCGTGGAAAGATTCCAGCCAGGACCAGGATTGTAATCAGCAGAGAAGCTGAGTGGAGCAAAGGACGGGAGCTGAGGCTAATGGCCGTGCACCATTCTCCTCATCTTATGGAACAGAGAATCTGTGGACGCGATCTGAATTTGATGAATCATAATATTACTTGAAGTTAGACATTAAAGCACCAAGACCTTAAAATTCTAATGTAATTAATAAAAATTGGAAGGTAAATGGCAAATGGGAAACAGATGCATATATTATGTGAAGTTGATTAGACCAGAAATAGAGAGACACATGTTAACTTTGATGATCTATCAGAACTAGCACCAGTCACCGGCTGCTGTTGATAGATTCTTTTGTTTCAATGTTTTAAAATGATGTTGTATTTATGGTGAAGCTTTACATAGAAGTTTAGGTTACCATTCAATAATTTCTACAAAAATCGTACAGCATAATCATTTCACCGACATACAATTCCCATGCCATACATTTCAGTGGTTCCATCATGTGCACCATAGTTGTGC